TTAAGCCTCAAAACACACAACAACCACACTTGAAACCTCGAAAAACTTCCTTTTCCAACAGAATTTGCAAATAAGCTCATTTTTGCAAATTCTCAAGCCAAACACTCTTCACTCGTTCATACTTCAAAGAAACTTCATAAACCATCTCTAGACAATCCATAGAACTTGTTCCAACCATTAAACAAGTTCTGTATCATCCCACACATAATTTACTATTTCACACCTTCATCTTGCAAGAAGGATCGAGTTTGGATTTTGAAGCTACTTCCAAGCAATATAAGCATTCATATATTCTCTCCAAGGACCAACAAGGCTAAGGAGACCATCATTTCCGTTCTGTAAAAATATTTGAAGGAGCCTTGGACTGTCTCCAAGAGGTAAGATTCTTGACTCATTAACCTCATGATTCATGCATCTTTAATGACTTATTTGTGAGGCAAAAATGTAGTCCATATCATATATTATCTGATTGAAACATTGTTTGCATTGAATGAGTTGAACATGTGATGTTTTGACATGTGATGATGTTGTTGTATTGCATTGTTGTTGGGTTTATTGTGTGTTGTACAATTAGTTTTAGGATGAACTAATGGTATATTTAGAATCCTTGTAAAAAAATGCTCCAAGTTTGGTTTTTACAAAACTAAAAATATATATTACACTAGGTGGGCTCCACGGATGTATTGGCCACCCTAGTGGTAGAAGCTTGTGTGCATGTTCTTGCTTGTCCAAAGGGTATGGGGTTCGAATCCCCCTCGCCCCAAACCTTTTGTGTTTTTTTAAAACTCATTTTATGAAGGAAACTCAATATATTATGTTATGATTCCACCATTATATCACATGCGCGCTTTGATTCAGTTGGTTTAGTTTTAAGATGCAAGCCAGGTAGTGTGGGTTCAAGACCTGCCAAGACCATTCCTTATTTTTTATTACTTATTTTCTCACTTTTCTTCATAAATTGAAACTTTCATAACTTTTTCATCCCAAAAGCTTTTGAACCCATTATTTTTGCCAATTGTTTATGAAAATGCCTACTTTTGGTTTGTTAAAAGAGATACTAAAAAATATTTATTTTCTTGCACCTATGCTTGTTTAAAGTAGGTGACCTAGGTTTCTCTTGAATTCTTTGATTGATCATTTGATTTCCTTTGTGCACATTGACTTGTATGAACCTTATATATCTTGTATAAACCTTATAGAATTTTGTGAACTTATACATCTTTGTTTTAACTTGAGTTTGATACATTTTTGGTGTATATTTACATATTAATTGTATGTTAAAACTTTAATCATACCATGAGATTTTTTCTTGGTTATTTGTCCTTGATATGTGGTTTTTTCCCATGTATATTGGACCTTGATGTGCATATATGTCCTTGTGTGGATTATACCATGATTAGGTGTTCATAAACACTTGATTTTTGCCTTAATATGATTTTGTGTACATGTTTATATGTCTAAACCTTTGTGATGTTTCCATCTTGTTAAAGACCATGATTTAACCCATGACATGTATGCTTGGTTGTCACCTACTTGTCCTAAACATGTTTTAACTTGCTTTCATGATTAATTGCTCAAGTAATGTCTTAACTTTTTTTCATGATTAAATGGTATTTAAACTATAACTTGTCATTTATATGTATGCTTACATGTCATCCTTTATATGCTTGCATCCTCCATCCACATGTTATTGTTATGAACATGTATCTTTTCTCAAGTATTCTTTGGTTGTTACCTTTACTTGTCTTGAATATCTTAAATTGTATTCATGATTAAGTGATGCTTAACTTAAACCATGTCTTAATATGATTTCTTAGCTTGTATATGTCATGTTTGAACCATGTTTTAATCCATTCATGTTGATTGACCTTACTCATGTTTGATATCTATATCCATGCTTTGTTGAACTCTTGAACCTCTACACATGTTAAGTAATGTTTTGAATTATGCATGTTTGTTTTGAACCATGAATGATACCATGTTATATGATCTTTTAACTTATACATGTTTTACTTCATCTTATCCAAGTTTAAGTGTTGTTACAACCTGTCCATCTTAAATTGTATTCATGATTAAGTTTTGTTACAACTTGTTCATGTTTGTATTATATTCATGGTTAAGTAGTGTTAGCAAACCCTAATCCATGCTTACCTTAGTTGTGTACTTTAACTCGTCATCCATAATACTTTGTTGATATTGTTATATCTATGATTGATTTGAATTCTTAATCACATCCATGATGCTTTAGTCTTGTTAGAACTATCTCTCATGTATGTTTAGATGTTGTAACATATTTTCTTGTATGTTCTTACCTTGGTTGTCCATGTTTATTTATAACTTCATTAAGTCTTGAATGTGTTCATGGTTGTTACCTTGATCTTTTGTGTCTTTATCAAGTCCTTGCTTTAGACGTTGTCACATCTACCTTTATGCTTTGGTTGTTACCATGTACCTTTAACTTTGTCATACCTCATATGATTCCTTGATTAAATATCATGTTTGAATATCATACTTGTTCACCTCATCCATTTGTCCATGCTTACTTTCAACTTTGTCAAGTTATTCCCCAAGTGATGCTAGCTTGTTAGATTTTATCTTCCTTTGTTGCCTTTTGTTTCCAAATCCAAAAGCAATAATACTTCATTGACTTAATGTCATAAGTAGCTTAGCAATACCGAAATTCCCCTTGACCTTGTTAGAGTCATTAAGTACTTCATCTTAGACTTAGGGTAGAATTTACAACTTTGTTGACTTTGTTAAGTTATGTAAGTGTTAAGACTATAACACGTACCTCCCTTTTTAAACCTTAATCATAATCAAGTGTTCATTCATCCCTAGTGAGGTGAACTACAAATGCTCTGATTCCATCCTTGTAAGGATATGTAGGCACAAGACCGCGAAGTTTTGGCGAGCATACTTAGTAACAAACCCTCAGGTTCCTATCTTCACCAATAAAACCCAAACACAAGACATTTCAAAGCAAATAGCAAACAAGAACACAAAATAATCAAGAGGTTCCTATAGAGTACTATAGATGCTTAGGATGCTAACAACTTCCTTGGGTATAACCAACCCCCAAACCTTACAATCTCTTAGCATTGTTGTTACATTGCAACTTAGAGTTTTATACAATCCTTTCCCTTTTCCTTGGATAAAACAAAGTTCGGTGGTGAATATTTAAAGATTTGTGATTCAAGTTAATCAATAGCTTGATATTGGATTCTTACTGCAACAACCAATAACCGCATTGGTGAGATCAACCTATTTTAGGTTGGCATCACTTTTCGCAACAAGAGGCGAAAGATGGAGTGCAGTGTTAATATCTGGTCAATTATTCAGTGAATGTTGCATGAAAGTGATGAAAGACGAAACTATCAAAGCTATCACACATACGGTTACAGTCTTTGATCGTCATTCGTAAACTTTCAGTGTACAGGAAATAATGGACCACAATGAGGGAAAGCCAAATTTATTATATGCTGTCAAACTAAACAAATCTTGGTGTGACTGTTGCAAGTACCAGGGATTCCGTATACCTTGCTCCCATGTCATTGCGGTATGCACACATACTCGTTAGGACGCTTACAACCATCTATCCGATGTTTACAAAACCATTAACGTTATGAATGTCTACAATGAAGGCTTCGCAGTGCTAGCAATAGAGGAATATTGGTCTCTATATCAAAGAGACATAGTTTGACACAACAATGAGATGTAAAGAAAGAAAAAAAGGTCGCCCAAACAACACGCATATAAGAACAAAAATGGATACGGCGGATAAAATGATGAGATTATGGAGTATATGTTGTTAGCCTAGGCACAATCGAAAAAATTGTCCCAATATTGGAGCAACATTTGCATCATAATTTAGTTTCTTCTTTCAATTGTTGTAACCTTATATTTTGATATATTAATAACTTTTTGTTACAATAATACTGACAACAAACATCACCCCGACTTAAACACACTTCAAAACAACAACACTTTCTAACAAAAAACTAGATATCACAAAATGAACAACAACAACTCTAAATAAACAACACATACAACAAATATCAAAACAAATAAAAATGCTTAATACCATAACATTTCTAACTAATTACAACAATCAAACTGATATCATTTGGTCCAAACATTACTTTTCTCACATCCTTATCGGTCTTAACTCGCACTCACCCACGCATCGTGTCTCTCAATACTTCTAATTTTTTCGCCTTCAGGTATGTCTCCAGCTAACCAAATATTCAACTCCCTCTGTAGTTGCTTGAAACTTTAAATGTTCTAGAAGAACATCTCCATCGAAGGTTTGTCTCTCGAATAAATTATTTTTTCGTAGCGACGACGAATGATGTTATCACTAATACAAAAATATGAGAATAGATGTGAAAACAATGGATCACACTACCTCTATTTATAATAAAATTAAACAACACAATGTCTACAAACTAATTGACGATACCTTTCTTATAATAAAATTAAACAACACAATGTCTACAAACTAATTGACGATACCTTTCAAATTTAACACCGTGTCACCAATTGAATTGGAGATGAGTTATTTAAATTTTTTTTAAATGTGGATTATTTAGATAAAAATTATTTTAATTAAGTTCATCATATTTTCTATTATTAGATAAACAAATAAAAAGAACAAGAGTATAAAAAAAAATCATATTTATCATGGTATATATTACAAACAAATAATAGTCCCCGACATAGAAAATATCAGCATCAATGATTTAGACCTATCTTAGCCTTCCAAAACCAAATTACTTTTCATGCAGGAAAAGTACGAAACAAAACAACTCGCAAAGATCAATTCAACACATTGACCCTACTTCGCCATTTCCACATAGTAACCGGCCAAACCATTCATAAATGATTCACTGTTCTATTTCAAAGACAAAAAAAAATTTATTGACAATACTAGTAAATGTTGTTGTCCCAACCGTCACTACACAACATGGTCAAGTGGTGATTCGTTCTGATCCAATCATTTTTCACAGCAAGAAATCCATACACCTTAACAAACCAAAACCTTTGCTCGCTTTCCCCGCTTCTCTCGAACATGTTCCAGACGACGCCGTTACGCTACTCTCTCCACCATTATTCTCACCCTCTCCAAACTTCTTCGGACACATAAAGAAATTTCTTGATCCAATTTCCCTCAGTTTCTCATTTCTATCCAAACCTGCACAAGTAAAAGAAATCTATACTGAATCATTAATGTAAATAAATAATATTGATATCAGCATCTTCCAATACCATGTTGTCCGGGTCGCATACAATTTTTTAAAACCTTGAAAGAAAAAACTTTGTTATGACTTACTTTCTAAGCTGAACTGAGAGTAATGGAGATCGAAGCGGGAAGCTTCATTCGACGGCAAGATTGGACGGCGGCCTTCTTTAACGTATAGGCGCACCGCCGCCGCAATCAAATCTCCAGCTGTCGATTCTGGTGTCATCAACACTTGGACAGGACCAAGGCTCCCCATCATCGTAACCTTGAGCAGCAACTTCGACGGCTGTCTCGGGAAAATCTCCGGCGTCGTCGTCGTCTTTGCTGCACGCTTTCTGTCTAGTACGAGTTCCGGCATCGTTTTCGGCCGCCGAATTTGAGCAGTGGCCAACGTAGCCGCCGTGGAGGAAGTGTGACCGTAAAAAGAAGATGATTTCCCTGTTAATTTGCCTCGCCGGTGAGTTTCCACCGGACTGTTACGTTGGTTTTTGGTGTTTGGCATCGGAGAATGATGCGTGATTTTTAGTACTTTAATCGACGGTATCTGAAATATCTATAGTGAGGGAAACCAAGTGTTGGTGAAGATATTTGGGGTTGTGGTTCACGGGTGTTGAAAGCTATCATTACCAGACGGTGTAACAAGAAGAAGAAAAATTGAAAGAGAAAAAAAAGTGAGTGGAAAATATAGATGAGAAATGAAGTGTGAGCATCCAACTCTTGTGATTATTTTTTAATACTTAAAGTGGCAGAGAGTGGTGGTCTATTTATATAAAGAAAAATGAAGCTGGCTTTACTTTTAGGGTTTATTCATTTGAGTTTAGAAGTAAAACTAATATTGTATTGATAAAAAATACACACGTGTAACTTAGCTGATTAATTGTAGGGATAAAAAATACACACGTGTAGTAGCGGATAGTATAACAAATCAAGCTTCCGTATAAGTGTTTGTGTAATTTGTTTGTCATTTTCTTCTTTCTATCCTCTTTTCATTTATTGGCTTGATGTCAATCAATGTCATTGCCATTTCATATGATTGTAACCTTTGTAATAGTTAAGACGGCTATTCGTTAGTACTATTTATTGCATGTGCCTCATTGAGGCTATTTAACTTATTAACCCTTTGTTTGATTGATCTTATGGCTATGGAATAAACCACCAATATCGGGCATGTGGTTTTCAATTTAAATTGTATCTAAACCCATTAAGTTTGATTGGGAAAAATGTCAATAACATAGTCATAAGATTATGATAACTTTGTGATTAAAATATGTTCAAAATCTTATGATAACTATGTGATTAAAATATGTTCAAAATCTTGAAAAGGTATATAGTAATTTACCATATTCAACGGGAAATTGGTGTGAGATAAATTCACATACTATAAGATATGTTTTGACACCAAGATTATAAGTCTCAACAAAGGCAATTAAGATATTTGATAATGTTTTTAGACAACAATAGCCGTTTTATAGCAATTCAAAGATCAAAGTCACATGGAAACTTATTAGAAAACAACAGCACACGTAGTATGATATATGTCGAGTTCATGAGAAGTAATAGTTATCGATATGTTAAAACATGTAGTATTGATTTACCAAAAATAACGGTAAACAAATTGACACGTTCGATGAGACCTTTTTGTGCAAAAAATTTAAACTTTGTTTTCTAATAAGTGTTTGTGCATTTATTGTTTGTTTCATTCTTCATACATGCAATATTTTCAATGTTGAGTGTTTATGTATTTGAGGAGTGGTAAAACTCTTGTCGAGGTGACTCGTCCAACGTTAAAAATTTCTTCCATTCCCTAGAACAATGCTCCAAATGTACAAAAACAACCAATCAAATCGACGATTGGTGAAGCAGGAACTTCAACTTTCGTTGGAGTAACCACTCATATATTAAGTGAAATGTCAAATTCGACGACATTACCGAAAGTGGTGGTTCCACCACTACAAACAATAACTTTTCCAACCACTCCCAGGGTTACAGAAACCACTGTAGGATACCTTAGACCTTCTTTTCTTCCAAGCTTTACGATGTCCCCTAGTAGTAAGAAATATCTATATGGAATGCTAACTATAATGATGGTAGGTCTACAATCTAGTGCATCTACATATACAAATAATGCAATGACCATTGTATATCTGCTTAATAAATACTTGGCATCAATATTTTTTATATGCAGTCCTAGTCGAATGACACAACCACAAGGAAGATTAGGATACGTCACTCATGTTATATCACCCTTAACCACTAGTACCCTTCGGTTATGAGGCAACAAATTGATGATAGGAACCATGATATGGTCAATATACTTAACCAATAAATTGATGCTCTGTTTAACCCCCTAATTCAAAACACAAACCACATTTACCAACAACTGGCACATCAAATGGGTCGAATTGTTAATTTCTTTGGCGCTCCCAAGCGCCTATTCAACTGGTCCCTCAAATACAAATAGGCGGTGTAATTAAAAATCCAGATGTTGCAAACAATGAAGGTTTTCTTAATAACCAAGGCCAACAAGGGGTTATTCCCCAACAAGTTGAACAACTTGTATAGGGGGGTAATTAAAGGGGACTTAGGTCAAAATGGTCCAAAGGTAGTTTTGGTGAATAAAGATCAGGATGCAGACCAAGTGGATTAGAGATTCCGATAAAACAATGTTGGGAAGCAAAATAATATAGCCAATGTGGTCGATCAAAGCTTAGCCTAAAATGGTCTTAACGTTGGTCTTCAGAGACCAAATTTTATTTCTACTTTGTCTCGAGTATGTATTGTAGACTGAAATCCTAATGGGTTAGAAATTCCCTAAGTTCACTAAGTTTACAGGTGATACTCGTGAATTTACTGTCAAGTATATTGCTCGATATCAATCAGAGGTGGGTGATTTGGCCAATAGTGAAAACTTAAAAATGAAATATTTCCCAAACTCCTTAATTAAAAGTGCTTTCACATGGTTCACTATACTTCCTCCTGTCGCGGGGAAAATCGGATACCAAACTATTGATTAGTTTGAATCTTTAATTCATTTTGCAACCGAACTTTGATTTGTCCAAAGGAAGGGATAAAGATCGAAATTCCCACAATGCAATGCAAATGCAAGCTAGAGAGTTATAGGTTCGGGGGTTGGTTAAACTTAGGGAAGGTACTAGCATCCTAAGTGTCTGTAGTACTCTACAGGAACCTCTTGTTTTATGATTGTTTATTGCTAGGTGTTATCTGCTTAAAGGTAAAAGACCTAGGGGTTTATTTCTAAGTATACTCGATAAGATATCGCATCTTATGCCTACATATTCTTACGGGAGTGGAATCAGAGTATTTGTAGTTCCCCTAAAGGGTTCGAGGAGTTCTTTGATTGTGGTCAAAGTTCCTACGGGTTTAGGGTAGTTGATTGATTGATTTTAGGAGAAAAGATGAGTTGTCATTTTAAGAGAGATTTAACCGCCACAAATTGTAGGAAAATAGTCTTTGCATCGTCTTAAGAGAAGGGCTCAAGTACTCGGATATAGATCGACGATGTACGCCTCTATCTCTCTTAAGGCAAAGTCTCTACATGTTGATTGTATTGTTGTGGGGTGGAGATTTTATCTCGCTTAAGATGATTAACATCTATTTCTCTATTGTGTTTGAATATTTGTTGTTTTGAGTTGATTGTTTGTTTCTATGTTGTAAAGAGAAGGTCCTTCCTATGGGGTAGGATCTATCTTAAGTGATCGACTTGAATGGGATCAAGGATCGTAAGGGAGAATGATGCAAGTGATATGCACTACACACGATTATTGAATCATGTGTAGGTTTTTCCTTTGGACGGAATGCGATGCGAGGAAAATAAATTGCTGTAGTGTAAATTGCAGAAGATAAATTGCAAAAAAATAAAGCCATACACACGCATGAAAGCGCTAAGGTGTGTGGGAGTGAATGTGAGTGTGTGAACGGACCGGAGCGAGGTTTGATTTATTTTAGGGGATTGACTTTATATGATTAGTTTAAGAAAAAGTTATATTAAGTGATGAAGTTGATTTTAGAAAAAAGTCGAATTAATTTTATTAGCAAAAAGGGTTTTAGATGGTTGATTTTAAGCGAGAGGTTGTTTTTAGATGAGATTAAACCATAAATTAGAGATTATAAATAAAAGCTACAATGATTTAATTTATTATAAAAACTTAAGTGAAATGATTATTTTCTACTATGGCTATTAAAAAATTGAATTAAATTAGTATTGATTTTATAATTTATTTCTAAAAGTTAATTGAATACTAAATTATTATTATTAATTAAATAAATTGATAACTCGGCGTAATTATTTAAAAAGATTTTATTAGTGAATAAATACTATTAAAATGTTATTAAGATGAAGAAAGTTGAAATTAAATTAGCAAAACATCTTAATAGGGATTAATAGGATTCTTTTTAAAAAGGGGGTTTTTAGTTATTAAGATAGTGAAAATTATAAGATTGATTTAATTGGGATAAAATAAATAAGATGAATTATTTTAAAGGCTAATTAAATTAATAGTTAAAAAAAAGATAAAGCTAATTTGATTAAAGAGTTGTTAATTTATTAAAAAAGATTAGTTAATTAATTTTTTTAAAAAAGATTAAGGGTGATTAACGGTGATTAGCGGTTTAGTGGTTTTGGTGGTTTAGTGGGGATTGTGTGTGTTGTGTAGATGATTATGTGGAAATCAAATTACAACTGCAGACAAAGAAGAAAACAAAACGAAATGAAACGAAGGAAAGAAAGAACCCTAGCCCCCCCTTTCTTCGTCCCCAAATCGGACCCCAGCCTTCCCATCGTTCCTCTCCTCTCTCGCGATTGGTTTCCTTCTCGCCATTTCCTTCAACCTGCAACATTAACAAATGGTCAAAGCGATCTCAGTACTTTATCTAGAGTGGAATTTTACCGAAGCTTTGTGACGATGTCGTTTGCGGCGGCGAAGTGGATTCGCGGCGGCGGAATGGATTCGTCAACAGGATAAATAAGTCTTTCTCCCTCCTTTTGTGTTTTACGGACTCTAGGGTTTCGTGGTTTTTGTGATCCTTCGAATGTTCTCGATTTCCTTCCAATTTATAGGCCCTTGAGTAGAAGATTTATGATTAATTGGTATTAAAACCTTCTGTTTTCGTGTGATTGGATTCAAAAACTTTCCTTCTTCGTATGATTGCGTTTAATGTTGTTGATGAAAATTCAATATGGATGATTTGATTTGAGGAATATTCACTTGATGCTGAAGGATTCAATAGGATCTGAATAGGATCTCAATCTTTGAACAGGGTATATTCTTTGATCAGCTTACTAATCCAAACTTTACGTTTTTGCAGGTGTAGAAAGCAGGAGATTTTGGGCCAAGGGAATTAGTAGCCAGGAGTGGTTTTGATTAGGGAAGTTCTAATCTTTCCTCTTCCCGTATTGATTTGTAAATTTCCTTGTTGACTTTGTGACTTGGTTTCTTTTGCCGCTGAAAGATAGAAACTTGCCATTACGGGATTGTTAATACT